GGGATTGCCGCCGGGACCAGCACCAGCTGCGAGCCGCCGCATTGGCAATAGAGGAAGAGAATATGGTCCACTCGGACTCGATGTCCCCCTCCTCTGCCGGGACCTGGGAGAAGCTCTCCCGGAGGTGTGAGTTGAAAGTCCGTCTGACAGGGGGCTCAGCGAGACGTTCCCAGCAAACCCTCACTACATGCTTGGGCTTGCCAGGTCTGACCGGCTTCTTCCCCTGCCAGCGGATCCAACTCACGACCAGGTGATGATCGGTTGACAGCTCCGCCCCTCTCTTCACCCGAGTGTCCGAGACACGCGGTCGAAGGTCAGATGATACGACAACAAAGTCAATCATCGACCTCCGGCCTAGGGTGTCCTGGTGCCACGTGCACTGGTGGACACCCTTGTGCTCGAACATGGTGTTCGTGATGGACAGACCGTGACTGGCACAGAAGTCCAACAACTGAACACCGCTCGGGTTCAGATCAGGGGGGCCGTTCTTCCCGATCACCCCTCTCCAAGTGTCACTGACATTTCCCACATGGGCGTTGAAGTCCCCCAGGAGAATAACGGAGTCCCCGGGCGGTGCACTGTCCAGTACCCCTCCCAAGGACTCCAAGAAGGCTGGGTACTCTGCACTGCCGTTAGGCCCGTAGGCCGTCACAACAGTGAGAGACTTGTCTCCCACCCGGAGGCGGAGGGACGCGACCCTCTCATTCACCGGGGAGAACTCCAACACGTGGCGGCTGAGATGGGGGGCAATGAGTATGGCCACCCCAGCTCGCCGCCTCTCCCCGCGGGAAACACCAGAAAAGTGGAGCGTCCAACCCCTCTCAAGGAGTTGGGTTCCAGAGCCCAAGCTGTGTGTGGAGGTGAGGCCGACTACAGTGCCTTGCACTGATCAGAGATGCAGCCAAGAGGCCCATGATCACTCTGGATGAACTGCAGATAACTACAGCTGAGGTGGGAGAGTCTGTCCATAGGACAACAATCAGTCAAATCTGGCCTTTATGGAAGAGTGGCCATTTCTCAAAGATATCCAATAAAAGTCTCTTAAAGTTTGCCACAAGCCACCTGGGAGACACACCAAACATGTGGAAGAAGGTGCTCTGGTCAGATGAAACCAAAATCAAACTTTTTGGCCACAATGCAAAACGATATGTTTGGCGTAAAAGCAACACAGCTCATCACCCTGAACACACCATCCCCACCTCAGCTGTAGTTATCTGCAGTTCATCCAGAGTGATCATGGGCCTCTTGGCTGCATCTTTGATCAGTCTTCTCCTTGTTTGAGATGAAAGTTTGGAGGCATGGCCGGGTCTTGGTAAATTTGCAGTGGTCTGATACTCCTTCCATTTCAATATAATTGCTTGCACAGTGCTCCTTGAGATGTTTAAAGCTTGGGAAATCTTTTTGTATCCAAATCCGGCTTTGAACTTCTCCACAACAGTATCTCGGACCTGCCTGATGTGTTCCTTTGTCTTCATGGTTCTCTCTGCGCTTTAAACAGAACCCTGAGACTATCAAAGAGCAGGTGCATTTATACGGAGACTTGATCACACACGGGTGCATTCTATTTATCATCATCAGTCATTTAGGACAACATTGGATCATTCAAAGATCCTCTCTGAACTTCTGGAGTGAGTTTGCTGCACTGAAAGTAACGGGGCCGAATAATATTGCACGCCCAACTTTTCAGTTTTTTATTTGTTAAAAAAGTTTAAATTATCCAACAAATTTTGTTCCACTTCACGATTGTGTCCCACTTGTTGTTGATTCATGACAAAAAATTAAAATTTTATATCTTTATGTTTGAAGACTGAAATGTGGCAAAATGTTGAAAGGTTCAAGGGGGCCGAATACTTTCGCACTGTATCTCTAGTCGGTATCGTTCAACCTCCCCCACAAGCTCGGGCTCCTTCCCCCACAAGCTCGGGCTCCTTCCCCCCCAGTGAGGTGACGTTCCACGTCCCAAGAGCCAGATGTTGGGTGTGTGGACTGGGTCGTCGAGGTCTCCGCCTTCGACTGCTGCCCAGTCCTCGCTGCACCTCGCCACCACGGACCCCTCTGCAGGTGGTGGGCCCACAGGAGGGACTGCCCACGTCATCCCTTCGGGCTGAGCCCGGCCGGGATCCAATCAACTAATCAATTAATCAAAGGAATAAACCACCAACTAATCGATTAATCGAAGGAATAACCAACCAACTAATCGATTAATCAAAGGAATAAACAACCAACTAATCGATTAATCAAAGGAATAAACAACCAACTAATCGATTGTCAAAATAGTTGTTCATTACAGCCAGTGTTTACCGATTCGTTTTTAATTAAATTACAGTGAGATTTACGTAAAACTCATGTAATCTGGGATCTGTAAAGAGTGCATGCAAAACAGCTTAACTTGTGTTAATGTGTGATTTAGTCCATTGATTAAAAAAAATGTTTTTTGGCAAAATTGAAAAGTGCTGATCTGAAGCTTAGATGATGCATAAAAGGAGCACACGTAGTAGAAATCACAAATAAGAGTAAGTCTGCACCACTAGAGAAATGTTCATACTTACTTTGATCTTGCAGAACCCTAAAGCTCTCTGGTATCTTCTTATTCAGTCATGTGCATTGTATTTGTTGAATACTTGGAAATATTGTAAAGACAGTGTCATGGAAGTACAAGTTGATCGACCGCTCTCTCTTTAAACACAAACCCATATGAAAATTATATAAGGGATGTAATATTGAGGACGGGCAAAGTTAACTAAACATGCAGAGAATATTCCTCAGCTTTAGGCAGCTCTTCGAAATATCATCAAGAAATTAATACATTTTCTCTCTTAACAGCTCAAGGCATTCGCTGTTCCCCTACTCGTGTTTACTCCCTTTCAGATAAAACCGATTACAGAATGAGCAAGATTAGACAAACAGATTTGAGGTGTAATCCAGCTCAGCCTCTAAGTAAAGTAAACTTGCTCAGAAAAAGTCAAAGGTGCGACTCCCAGACAGGGTAGCACCCAGTGGGAGACAATCCTTTCTGCTGTCCTAATATGGCCAAACACAGATTTGTCTTAAAGGGATTTTCAAAGAGGGTTCCAAAAGAAGAATTGTGAGATGACTTCAAAAGGCATCGCGCTTCGATCGGCTGAGTCAGAGCAAACCGTGGCACAAAAACATTCTGCAGACACTGAGTCAGATTGCAGCAAACGCCAGCAACACTTGTTTATTCAGATGTCTTTAAATTTTGCGTATTAAAGGCGCATTATGCAACTTTTCTGATGGGATCCGCAGCCTGCTTGTTGCCATGGAGATGTTATTGCGTTGCTTGGAATGCACCTCAGTGGGGTTTGAAACATTGTACATTATTTGATTGTAGGATCTGAAATCGGGTCAGCTCTCCTCTCTGCAGGCACGACTTATATCTTAGCCGAGTCATTTGCATCTCTATTGGAAAATGTAATGCCATACTGTGGAATTCCAAGAAAAACAATATTTTGGATCAGAGGTGTCAAACTCATTTTGGTCAGGGAAGAATAAATACAATAGGAAGGGGGCCGAAAGAATAGAAGGGTTTTTCCTTTTCTTATTATTGTTTTCACATTATGAAGGGATTTGGACATTTGACATACGTTTATTGTTTAGATTTCATCAAAACTGGACCAAATATACTGTTAATCATTTAAGTATTTAACTTCAAATGATTTGTTGGATTACAATTTTAGACAGAAATAGATTATGTATAACCTGCCTTGGTAGCCCATAATCATAAAGCTGTAAGATGTTAATAATAATTGAAAATCACTAAAAATTAACTAAAAACTGTCCTGCCTGACAGATTTGGCCAGAGTCGGACACGTCTGTTTTAGACGGACCCAAGCAAAAAATCAGACCCTACACCAGGAAAGTTGTACCATACAGCTTTAAAAACATACATGGCATTTGAATTTAGGTTGGTGATATGACCACATTTAAAGAAAATATTATGTTAACTTTCAAAGAATCTCATATTGTCCATCCTCCAATCTATTTCTCCAACAGTCGCCATTTTTACAGACCCCAGAACACGGCGCCAAGATGTGCTTTCTCTGTTCTTACTACTGTCACCGAGCCATTTATCGGCTTGCCATATTCAGAGCCATTGTTATTGCATCCTAAAAACTGTACTTTGCAAAAAGAAGTCTGTGAATGTATTAAAATCTTATATACTTACGCTTCTGATTAAACAACCTTTATCTCGCAGTGTTTGTTAGAATATGGGGACTCCAAATGAGGACTTGGAAAGAGAAAAAAACACATTATATAATTTTTATATTAAATTGTGATTATAATATCTTCCAATCCTTGGCATATTTTATTGTGATTTGGTTGTGTTCTGTTTAATGTTAATGTTGTCTCTTCGTTCATTATTTACTGTAATTATTCCCAAGCTTACCATATGGCTTCCTTTTTTCCCCTAAAAAACCATATGGTATAAATAAACAACACTTTTGTATCCAGAAACTGTGCGCAGGGCTGGGCGATCTCCACATAACGTTTTCGCAGTCATCCTCTTTGATGCTCTGACTGACAGATGCATTCAACCACATCACAGTGAAGTGTGAACTCTCAGAAGAATAACAAAAACTCAATAAATCGAACTTCCATTCCTCTTCAAGGCAGTAAAAAGTTATTTAGTACGTCATGGAAATATACACTGCAAAAAATGATTAAACATGAGGTAAAAAAAGAGGTGATAATTGCTTGAATCGAGTGGTTTTCTTCTTATTTTGAGGACATTCTGACTGTCAAGATTTAGCCATTTAGTATTTTTTCAAGAACAGTTGCTTTATTTTCTCATTCCAAGGGAGACATTTCTTGTATCTTTTAAAATATATATAATTCTGCTTGTCCCATCGGCAAATCTTGTTTTAAGACAGTCAAAATGTGCTCAATCCAAGATACATTTGCCAAATTTGAGAAATGTTATACTTTTTTTTCATCACCTTTTGCAGTGTAGAGTAAGTTTTGCGACGCCCCAGTTTTGTTCACTGTTCGGTCGGCAAAGGCGACGCAGTCCGTATGTCGTAGTTGACCTCCATCGAGTTAAACAAGTCAGAGCAGATAGAAGAGCGGGAGATGGAGAGGCAGGGAGAGGGCGGGGGCAGAGGTCTGGGCTCCTGATGGTACAAAACAGAAGCCAAAAGCGTCTGCCCCTTGTATTTGCGTTCCTTCTCTGTAGAAACCCGAGCAAGAGTTGCCGCAAGTCTGGGTGCGTCGCTTCTTTGGGCTTGCGGCGTTACCGACCCCAGGGGCGGGGAAGAATTGTTTTGAGAAAGCGGAAGCAGGTGTGCCGGGGCCGCCCACGCTTCCTGCACGCAGTCGAGCCCTCCGGAACAATCCTCAACCGCCATCCCGCCTTTCAAATCCTCAAGATCATCAAACTTCTCCTGCCTCCTCACCTCCCGGTCCCTGTTTTCGTAGAGCAACGTAGCGGCGCAGATGAAGATAAACAAACCGATGCCCATGACGATCGGGCCGGCGAGTTTCATCCTCTCGACGTGAGTGCTGCCCCGGCCTCCGATGGGCGGTTTGGGTGGGGACGAAACGTAGCCCGCGATGGCCACGCAAAGACCCACGAAGACCACAGCCACTCCCAGCATGAGCCAGACCCCCGGGGGAGAGCGCAGGGGCAAGGGCGTCTGCAGGGGTTGACCTTTCTTCAGGCGACGGTGGCAGGATGTCGGGCAGGTCGCACCGGTGGAGGAGGTGGAGGTGGACTGGGTGGACTTGGAGGACGAGGGGCTACACACGGGGCTAGTAGCAGTCATCCTCTGGCCTTAAACTGTAAAAAAGACATGCGAGTGGAGTTAGGACATGCATGAACGACTTTTCATATTCGCCACATTTTAAATCCCTTGCTGATCTAAGTGAAAACAACACGTCTGCTGGATTGAAAATTGCCATAACGTTTTGCTCGCTCGCCTAACTCATTGACTGCCAGCCGTTTTTGATGATTTCACTGATTCTCAAGACCCAGAGAATGTTATCTGCTGTGACTTTGTGAAATATGGAGACTGGATTGTCTACTTTGATCAGCATAAATAAGTTTGCTTCTAGCTAGTTTTGTTGTCCTGTAATCCCCAGTCAAACTTTGACAGAAATCACCAGTCTCGGACAAATACGTCAATGGCAGTCAATGAATTAAGTTACATCTAACCTCGTCACTACAGACAGGTTTTTTGGCACATATGAAATCAAGCTGCTCGCTACCATGATCTGCAGCAATTATGTAAAATTATGATAGTAGAGAGTAAGTAATCTTTAATCATATAGCACATTTCACTGACCACGGTCACACTACCTGCAATGATGACATTTAGTCGCTGCAAATCAATATACTAATCTCAAAGTGAGCTCCTTTTTTTCTATTACAAACACGTCTTATTGATATTTCAAATGTCAAAAATGTATTCTAATGGTCCACACTTTTCATGTAATATATAAACAGAAACTTTCATGCACGTGCCACCTCCTTCACACACAGAGCAGAACCTGGTCATTATTGTGATGGGAGACCTCTGGGAACACCAGGGGCGCAGTGGGGAGCGGTTGTGGCTGTAAAGTGCCAAACTTTGCCAAACAAAGAATATAAAGTTTTACATTTGGCAAAATAAGAGGTAAATATAAAGTACTGTGTATTCTAGTGCAAGCAATATGTAGTTATATGTTAGCATCTGCACTAACAATATAAACTTAGTTCAATGGGTTTCCCTGGCTTTTTGAAGTGCGTAGAACCATAAAGACCAACCAGACGGTGGTCCAAGACCCATGTTTTAAGCAAAGTAACATTGTATGAAAAGTTAGAGTCCGTCAATCAACCAAATGATTTAATAATAGTAACATTTAATCATAACACTGCAATATGATGAAGCCACTATCATATCACTAATGACATGTACAATGGATGGTAATGGTTAGACGGTCTGGTGCCCAGCTGTGTGCCAGGACCAGAACCACTGTGTGTGAGGTGAATGAAAAATACACCAAATTGTATAGCGCTTGATGTGACCCTGTTTTGTGAAAGGCACAGGATTACTTACTACTATACCATATGACTCACACAAGTGACCTGCCCAAGGGCAAAACAAAAGAGGAACCTCAATGGTCTGTGAGTGCTTGTGTCTCCAGTGTTTTTGTTTTTTTTTCTGTGACAGGAGTCTGAATGATTTTATAGTTAAAAGGAAGGTACAACTACAGCTTTTGGCCAAAACGTCTCTGCAGTTACTTAGTTGATTTCCTTCAGATTGTTTGAGATTTGTGCATATATAATCTACAAAATTCTCAATAAAAAGATCTATTTTCTTAGTATTTCAACTAACAAGATACAGCATGTTCAGACCCACTGCAGTAAATCAATACCCTATTAAACATTACCTTCCCATCTTAGTCCAACCACACTAAACAAGTAAAAAAAAAATCTAGATTGCCCATTTATGATTGGCCACAAACTTATGCCAAACAAATAATGGTGCATGTATTTTGTTCTAGTCCAATGCCGCTGCACTACTCGTGTCTTAGCGGAGTTGCATATATATCGCCCACACATCTCTGAAAAACTGTAAATGAATATGTGATCACTACAACATCACTTGAATTAGGAAGAATTGTCTATATCTAGGCTTTCTACTGCGGCAATCAGCGCTCATACTGAAGCCCAATGCAACAGGACGCAAATAACGGGTCCCAAGTAAGTCATAATTTACCGGTGGATTGACATCTCCCGCGCACTGTTGCTGAGTATGTGCTACTGTAAAAAAGAAAAAAAGAGAAAAAAAGACTGCAGTTCCTTGACTATTAAAATTCCGACTGTGTACTTGCCTTGTTTTGGTCGCATTCCCCCTGCAAAAACTGTGGCATCTGCATTCTCAACACTAGAGTTGCGTTAATCCAGTCCACACTTCTTTGAATTGTCTCATTGCATAAATTCCACTTTATCTGCGGGCTTCCTCTCTGCGTTTGTTTAAAAAAAAGACAAAGAAAAGAAAAAGGTTACTGAATGCAAGAGTCTCAGTCACATGCACGAAGGGGGAAAGCAAAAGGTTTTATACAGGGAAGAGGAGAGTTGAGAAAGTGGCGCAGAGCGGGTTCGCTGCCGGTGTTTAGTGCGCTGGTGTACAACTGCAGCTCTGTTTTGGTTATTGTGGAGAGGAGGAGGAGAGGATGAGGAGGAGGAGAGGATGAGGAGGAGAGGATGAGGAGGAGGAGAGGGGGATCGTGGGAAACAGCTCTGTCCAGGCCGGTCCCACGGTCTCAACTGCTTTTTCTGCGCCACTTCTCCAACTATGTCCGAATTGCGTCCATTTAAGGAGACGTATATGGTTTTCTGTTGTATCTGCAGATCATCGTTTTTTTATATTTCGTCGATTCTACACCTTCTTGATAATCGAAACAGGTTCAAAGACTTCCTGATCAATGTTTACAGTTTATGATTCAAAAGTGCATTTACTGCAGATTTCCAGGAACAGAGAAATGGACCGTGGTTGGTGAAAATGTTTTTGTTCAGTAGACTTGAATGCACGACAGTACAAGATTATGGGAAAAAATACGCATTGACCTTAGAGTAAGAAGGATGGTAACTGAGCTATGTGAAAAGCTCAAATGTCCATTTTACACAATATATTAAAGAAGGTATATGTAACAAAACAAAACAAAAACATTACGAATAGAAGTCTATGATTTAATTCTTTCTTACATTTTGTAAGTGCAACATGCTCTGGGCTATTGTGTTATGAAAACCTTGAACATTTAGTTTCAGTGCCACCCAAGAAATAAACAATATACCTTTCCATGTAGTTCCACAGGACCACCAGCAGAGCGGGCAGTTGTCAGTGAAGTTCCCATCAATAAATTGCTGAAATAAGCCCAATTATGTGGATGAAACTGTCTGCAAATTAAGCAAACACTAAAGCAGAAGAAGCGCCTGTGGCTTACTGCACTTTAAGAACAAGTGATTATTTTTTTGAGTAATTCTGTCATTCATAAAATTGTCATTGGAATCATCCAAACGGAAACAGCCTGTAGAGTCCACCTCGTTTATTTTACCCACTCATACTCAGCCACAGCCACCTTGGAGCTTGTACTAGTATCTTTTAAATACATAAATAAAGCCGTTTGCTTATAAACAGATGATATTACATTCCTAATTGCTGAAAACACGTTTGCACTTTGTTTCTTTTGCTTAAAATCTTTTCTCTTTAGGCTCAAATGTCGAGTTCAAAGTCTTCAAATCCTACAGGAACAATTTCAGTCTAAAGAAAAGTGTAGGTTATTTACACGTGTAGAGCCAAAATATGTTTAGATCAACAGAAATAAAACACACAATTTGTACATTCAAATCCATCATGTGCCTTTTTTGAAAACATACAACACAAATAAAGGGTTCTTCCACCAAAATCTTGCTTCGATTTGCCCTTGAGATAAATGTCCTTTAAAGGGCTGGTGTAGAACTGCAAACTTAACACTTACACCTACAGTACGGTACATAAAAAAACACAATCACACAACTCACTGGGTTCAAATAACTCTTCAATAGACCATTCGTAAACAGAAAACTTTTCAGCTTTAAAGAAGACGTAACATGCTTCGCCTGGCTGTGTTGTAAGAATCTACGTGTAAGTCCATTTGGCATGTTACCTCCCCTTTAAACGTGCACCCTGGACCGTCTGAAGCCTGCTTAAACATGTTATCGCTTGCTTAGTATGTTCCAGAAAGACATCCAGATCTGAGAAGCGGATTAAAGTAAGAATGCAGGTTTTTTTTTCTATGCGTTTAAGTCATAAAAAGTGTGTATGTGTAAAAGCAGTCAGTTTAATGCCATAATGTGGACTATTCTAAGCATAGCAATATCTTCACGAAGCAAACAGACGTCAGAAGTTACCAAGAGCGGCTTAAATCATTCAGACAAACCAAAACTTTGTCGCTGGTCTCATTCTCACAATAGGTGTGTCTAAGATTGACGGCAAGAGGGGGCGGATGTGGCGTTTCTCTCTCCTCAAACAGCCTTGAGAAAAGAGAGACGCCTCAGATAATGTCCTGGTGGAAAGACAGCGCTTGCATTGATATGAACTGTGCAGTACTGAGGAAAACTGAATGAAAATATGAATGATCATAATTTTAAGCTTCAATTATGTCATGTCTAATGATATTCATATTAATCATGATGCAGACGCACTGGGTCATTTCTAGATCATACACGACTTATCATGTGATCCATGATATCGTGATCCACTCAAATCAAAACATTTACTTTTCCTGCAGCACAGCTTTCCATCGTTCAAAGTTAAAACTATGACATTCAGTAAATAGTCACTCTTATTACATAATTGAGGGCATCAGGGTCTAATGAGGGTCTCAAATTGCAAATATTCTCTAAGCTCGGCACTGGTATAAGAATAGATGCATCTCTGGTCATTCCTGTTTTTGCCTGTGTGAAAATATAAACTTATAAACTCAGATGAGACCAGGAGAGACATGAAATGAAAGCGTCATAATAGCGGCCATTTTGCTACTTAGCCGTCTGCCATTACACATCATACATTTAGGCTCTGTAGTCCATGAAGGCAGAAACATGTAACCTGTAGCACTGTTGATCTCACGCATTTTACCGTTTCCAACGTCACAGAGACAGACTGAAGTCGGGAGCACTGTGGACACAAACCAAACCACCTCTTGTCTCATCTTAAAACACACGCACCACTGTAGCCTCCTCCTCACTCACGATTGTATTTTGCAGCATTTAAAAAAAACTGAAGATGCTTGATTTGTCTGCTCTAGGCACAAGCACCATTTTGGAGAAGAAAACAGCACGAGATATTTAGTAAACTGTACATAGTTCGGCAATATTAAAAAGGTGCATATAGGAGCCTTGTTGATTCTTGTGTGGAGAGCTCCCTCGGGTTCGCTGCGCTGTCCGTTGTGGAGCAGGAAGTGGGAGGGGGGGCGGTAATGGCTTCCACTTGTAGCTCTCAGCATTAGCGAGAGCTAACTAAAGTCTCTTTGTATTACAAGTCTTGAAATGAGTCAATAGCGGCTTGAGTTGAGGTTTTACTCCTCATCTGCGTTCTTCAACATCAGAATGGAGTTGTAGATCTTGAGAGCAGGACCAAGCTTGATAGACAGGATCTTGACGATGTCAGTTTGGGTAAGCAGCAGAAAGGCCTCACCGTCTATTTGCTGTGAACAATAAAATCAAACACTATTTAAACACATTTAAATAATTTTTACAACAATGTCATTAGAAAATAAAATTATTCAGTCAACTGTAAATTGTGTTCAAACTGCTTGTGCCTTTACTTCACTCAGAATCTAAAGGAGATAAAGGGCTTTTCACACAAAGAGTGATTCAGTGGCCCCAAACTGTGGAACTGTTCACATCTGGACGTCAGACCATGAGGAACCGGGTCACCGATGGGGAGACCCTGGGGGGGTCTCCACAGCCTGGCGTGGCATGAGGTGTCACAAGGACCCCTGTCCCAGATGAGTGCTGAGTGGAAAGTGAAACCTATTCTGTACATTTTTATTGATTTATTCTCTAATCAATTTGTTCTATCTGATACTGACTATCATCGCACATGTGCATAGAATGAACTGTGAAAAAAGAAGAAGAGCAAAACATGGGACCGTACTACATCACAACATGAAAACCTGTGGCTTATATTCAGTGCGGTCATATGGAGAACCATAACTTTAAAATGTAGGTGTGGTTTATATACAGGTACAGTACGTCTTCCTCCTGCTTGACTTGTGCTTGACTATTAATTTGGCTATTCTATACTAGACTGACCGTTGCTACGATGCCAGTGTCCGGTAACCTTGTTTGCATTTGGCACATTATGTCCCCTTTAACAATCCAAATACTTTCTTTTTGGAGGGGATTGGATTAATAAGCTTTTTGCTTTGTCCAATCCCCTTTCAAACCAAATCAAGGGACGTTTAGAAAAGGGAAAAATATGCAATTAATCACAAGTTTACAACGACAGTAGTGCATTTTATATGAAATCAGAAAAACACTGAATCATCAAAGATTTTCATTGGGTTTAAAACTGGTGGGGGTAATCAATAAAACATTTTATGTTAGAAATTTGGAAATTCTTACCTCAGTTTTAAATGTAGCAGCATGTTCTTTACATCCAGGAAGTCCTTTGACAAAACCAGACACCTACAAACATGAGGTATTGACAACTATTAGTACTATGACCATAGATTTGAAAAGTCCAAATGTTTGTGTTGAACCCGACCTCCTCTGCGCTCCACGCGGCCACTCTCTTGGCCGTCAGCCCCAGGACCTCAGGCAGCAGCTGGCAGTGTTTGTCCCAGCACAGAGCCACTCGATGGGGGGGCGACGCCGATATGCCAGGGGAAAACACCGACTCGTGAAGGGCCTGTTGGAAGGAGATTTCCTCTGGAGAAGCTTGAAAGAGAAAGATAATGTAAAAAGCTGCACCGTGAGGCTTTGACAGAATTCTAAACGTTTATTTATTTGTCGACACCCAGTCAACGATACAATGAAATCTGTTTGTACTGAAGTTTTAAATGAGGATCAACTCTAAATGCCTATCATAATCGGACTTGGGACCATCAATTCACGTTTGATGAAGACTGATTTAGAATGTTTGACAAAATGACATAAAACAATCAAATTGATTTACAACAACAAAAATGTAATATTGTGTACCAAGTGGTTCCCATCCTTTTTACCCTGTGTACCCCCTCACCAGCATACACTGGGCACCGGGGAAAACATCTGAAAGAAATTTTTTTTTGCCCCAGCCATAGAACTTCAACTCATTTTCTCTATGGAAAGTTTGTTTTCACACATCTTTTGCGTCTAGTTATTTCACGTTTGTGTTTTTATTTTGACATAATGCAAAAAGTTCGTTTGTGGGACTCCTGAGGCAGCTGTCCAGTACCGGCAGGCCAAACGTGCCGCGGCCCGGGCTGTTGCAGAGGCAAAAACCCGGGACTGGGAGGAGTTCGGAGAGTCCATGGAGCATGACTATCGGTCGGCCTCGAAGAGGTTCTGGCAAACCGTCCGGCGCCTCAGGAGGGGGAAGCAGTTCTTTGCCAACACCGTGTATGGTGCGGGTGGAGGGCTGCTGACCTCGACTGAGGATATTGTCGGGCGGTGGAAGGAATACTTCGAGGTTCTCCTCAATCCCCCCGTCACGTCCTCCGTTCAGGAGGCAGAGGCTGAGGATGTTGGGGCGGACACTTCCATCTCCCTGGCCGAGGTCACCAAGGTGGTTGGCAGCCTCCATGGTGGCAAGGCGCCGGGAGTGGATGAGATCCGTCCTGACTATCTAAAGTCTCTGGATGTTGTAGGACTGTCTTGGCTGACACGTCTCTGCAACATCGCGTGGCGATCGGGGGCGGTGCCAATGGAGTGGCAGACCGGGGTGGTGGTCCCTCTCTACAAGAAGGGGGACCGGAGGGTGTGTTCCAATTATCGTGGGATCACACTCCTCAGCCTCCCCGGTAAGGTCTACTCCAAGGTACTGGAGAGGAGGCTACGCCCGATGGTCGAATCTCGGATTCAGGAGGAGCAGTGTGGTTTTCGTCCCGGTCGCGGAACACTGGACCAGCTCTATACTCTCCATCGGATACTCGAGGGTTCATGGGAGTTCGCCCAACCTGTCCACATGTGCTTTGTGGATTTGGAGAAGGCGTTCGACCGTGTTCCCCGGGGTGTCCTTTGGGGGGTCCTCCGGGAGTACGGGGTCCGGGGTCCTCTGCTGAGGGCCGTCTGGTCCCTGTATGACCGGAGCCAGAGCTGTGTTCGCATTGCCGGCAGTAAGTCAGACTTGTTCCCGGTGCATGTTGGCCTCCGCCAAGGCTGCCCTTTGTCACCGGTTCTGTTCACTGTATTTATGGACAGAATTTCTAGGCGCAGCCAGGGGCCGGAGGGGGTCCGGTTCGGGAACCACAGGATTTCATCTCTACTTTTTGCGGATGATGTCGTCCTGTTGGCTCCAACGAACCAGGACCTGCAGCATGCACTGGGACGGTTTGCAGCCGAGTGCGAAGCGGCTGGGATGAGAATCAGCACCTCCAAATCCGAGGCCATGGTGCTCGACCGGAAAAAGGTGCCTTGCCCTCTCCAGGTGGGTGGAGAGGTCCTTCCTCAAGTGGAGGAGTTCAAGTATCTCGGGGTCTTGTTCACGAGTGAGGGAAGAATGGAGCGTGAGATTGACAGGCGGATCGGTGCAGCGTGCGCAGTGATGCGGTCTCTGTATCGGACCGTTGTGGTAAAGAGGGAGCTGAGCCGAAAGGCGAAGCTCTCGATTTACCGGTCAATCTTTGTTCCCTCCCTCACCTATGGTCATGAGCTTTGGGTAATGACCGAAAGAACGAGATCGCGGATACAAGCGGTCGAAATGAGCTTCCTCCGCAGAGTGGCTGGGCGCTCCCTTAGAGGTAGGGTGAGGAGCTCAGTCACACGGGAGGAGCTCGGAGTAGAGCCGCTGCTTCTCCACGTCGAGAGGAACCAGTTGAGGTGGCTCGGGCATCTGTTCAGGATGCCTCCTGGACGCCTTCCTGGGGAGGTGTTCCGGGCACGTCCCACCGGGAGGAGGCCCCGGGGAAGACCCAGGACACGCTGGAGGGACTATGTCTCTCAGCTGGCCTGGGAACGCCTTGGGGTCCCCCCCGAGCTGGAGGAGGTGTGTGTGGATAGGGAAGTCTGGGCGTCTCTGCTTAGACTGCTGCCCCCGCGACCCGGCAACGGATAAAGCGGAAGAAAATGGATGGATGGATGGATAATGCAAAAAGGTAATTTGAACAATTTATCTATTGTATTTACAGTAGTGACTTAGTTGTAACCTTTTTGATTAACTCATGTTGTTGTTGCTCATGTATGTCAATATAAGAACTGCACACAAGTTGATTTATTTGAATTTCCAAAGCTCTATACCATTTTAATGTGACAAGCAGGCGATTGTCCCTCCACCAGAAATACCTTCCAAGAGCGCTTCATGTTTACTGTGAAAGTGTGAAGTACCTTTGCAGTCTCCAATCTCCTCTTTAACATAGTGCATCTTCAAGTATTTTGGGGGTGGGGCAGATCTAAAAGCACAAACCACATGACTTGTCAAAACTCTGCTTCTGCTTTGACACAGCTCTATTGCGAAAACACAGTACCGCTTTGGTCTGGATGTCGTGTGGTTTTGCTCACTGGCTCCCCCTGCTGGCTCCGAAATGCCAATACGTGTACTGCGCTCCACTTCCATCACTGGTTTCCTAGCAACACAGAAAACCCACTCAAACCTGGTCCAGAAACACTGGTGCAGTGCATCGGGAGAGGCTCCAGGGACCCGCAGGGAGGGTGTGGGTGAATCTCAGATAGAACACACTTTTTGACTTTGCCTTCTGAGGCCCATGTTCTCCATTACATTATTGCATAACCAACGGAAAGATAGCTGTCAAAAGTTAAACTGCAGAGGAAGAACATAAGCATCATTCAGTAATTATATGTTAGCTGGTGGTTTTCAGTACAGATAAACATATATAATTGCAGATATATTGTGCCAACAGTTGCCCTTTCAGCACTCTAAATACCAGCATAAAACGTGACGTGTTTTTAACACTTCCATGTGAAGAGAACACAGTGATGTGACTCGCTCTCTAATTCACCAGTCAAATCTGGATGCATATTCTCTTCAATGCAGTTGGCAGATGTTGTTGGTCCTCAATAGCTTAGGATTTTAAATAGCCATATGAAAAAAATAATCATCAAGAATAGGGAGAATGGGAATAGCTCAGTGCCAAAAGTATGAATGTATAAAAGTCCATTAAACATTTTCTATAATCCCAGTTAAATCCAATTTCAAACCCAGAACTTAACAGTCACATCACATAAAACAATTAAACATTAGGTGTGTAACCTGCTGGAGTCGTCGGCTCCTTCCAGCGGCTCGCCGGTTGAGGTGGGCTGTGAGTTTGGGGTGTCAGGGCGCCGGCCACGGGGCAGAGGTCCACACAGAGTGACCGGTCGCTCCCCGCTGAGTCGATCTGGCAGCAGACTGTCTTTGTTCAGGTTCAGCTCTGAGTACGGGCAGCTCACCTGACTGAGGAGCAGAGGTCAAGTTACAAAACAATTCCCTCGGTTTCTAACAAGAGCCTCGTGAGCAGCGGTCAGTCTCCTGCTGCGATCTACCACTATAGCTCCACAACTTAACATTTAGAAATGTAATCCATGGCATGTCAACGCCTTTAAACACCTATCATTGCACAATAATAAAAGAAAGACTATTTCACCCATCACCCTGATGTTGTGTGAGTAGTGGTACTTTAAATTTGTAAAAGATCTCCAGGAACAAAGCTTGGACACCGCTGCTCAAGAGAACTTTCTGAAAAAAACCACGTTGTTTAAGAAACACAAGGAGAGTACTGACGTGTAGTGAGTTCCGTAACGCGGCCCTCTGATGTGGCCGACTCCATTACATCCAGGAGTGGGACATCCTTGTCCAGGGGGCACCGCCTCCCAAGGAGCTGAAACAATTGCACAGAATTAATGAAAAAGCTGTATTTTATGTATCTTATTTCTGGACACATTCATTAATCGCTTGCTTGATTATATGCAGGGCAACTCCAGGTTTGGACAAAAATGTAATGCCACCATCGCAGGGTGGGGGTGCATCACAAGGAATAATTTTATATAGACTTTTTTGTTTGTACCTAATAATCTTCTACATTTCCAAAACAATTGAGTCCAGAATAGGTATTTTCTTTATCAATGACTCTTCCATGTTTTCCACGACTTTACAAACTGCCTGTACATTGTGAAATATGTATTTCAAGCATTTAAGGCTCCATCAAAAGTAAAACTTGAACATTATACTGACCATTGGGATATTCAAGGCGATGTCCGGTTTTCTGGCACCATCCAACAGGGTGGATATCCGGAAAGTCAGTTTCCACCCAATAGTCGTACTCCGAGTTCCAACCATCAAAATGAATCTATGAAGAGAAAATTATGTGCAATTAAAACACAGTGATGCAAAAAGGTGAGACTCTGATCACACATTTCTCCAAACAATGCTGAAAAGTCCAAAGCCTCACCTTGAGTCTATGCTCCTCCGTGTCAGAAATGGTCGCCACTCGGATAAGCACTGGGTTTCTTTTGTCTACTGCTTCCAGCTTCATGCCGATCTGAAATCCATGAGGAGGCCGCTGGAAAAGAACAACATATGAATTCTGCGACTCAGCAAAATGTACCCAACATGAAGCACACAAACGTCTTACGGGTTTGAAGGCTCGTGCAGGGGCGGCTTGTGTCCCCGTCTCCTCCAGGTACTTCTCCCACGAGAAACTCTTGGGGTGTTTGTATTCTGAACAAAGTAACATAAGTATCACACTCTTAGGAACTAAAGCTCCATTCCCACTGTGCAAAAACACTGGCTGAGCGTCAGTCTATTTTTCTCTGCAAATAGATAAAATCGATGTATTATGCGTTCAGTGTTACCTGCAGGTGTGGTCAGGGACAGCTCAGAATCTTCACAATATCCCACCGGATGAATGTATGGACTTGTGGCATCGCACCTGGAAACATTGTTTGAATTACAAACCTTGTTCTCCACAGAACACATGCTGTGTTTATTTACCAGTAATCGTAGGAATCGTCCCAGTTGTCGAAATGGATAAGAAGTCTGTTATCTACGGCAGCAGCGATCGTGGCCACACAGACTAAAGGTGGGTTCTTTCTGTCCACAGCCTCCAGCTTCATCCCGGTCCTGAACCCTGACGGCGTAACGGACTGAAAAAAACAACACAAAAATAATTTACAATTATATTCTGTGACCTCATTTAACAGTTATTTACGGTTTCTGTGGGTATAGTGATAAGAACGAGGCTAGATTTTGAATGTGTTAAAACAAAGCAGTCAATGGTAAATCGAGTTATTGTAAACACCTCAGGAAATTGAGATGTAAGAGAATCCAGACAAGATTTATACAATGTGGTTCAGAGGGAACTGGATGTCATTAGAAAAACGTTAAAGAAGCTATACCCGATATTTTTTCTAAGTAGTTCATAAAAATGCTTTTTACTACATACAAGTTGTATCATAATACATCATTTAATTGAGAACTTGAGGTAATTGATTCAGCTGTGTAAGAATTACAAGCAGTGAAAAGTGCAGAGTAGAGTCTGAGCGGGCCGCTCTTTCTCCTCCGCTCACAGAACGAGCAGCGAACAGCCTGCGTCCTCTAGCCCCTACAGCGCTGCTCAACACCAGGGCTTCGGCTTCAAAATTCGAATATAATTCTAAAATAAAAAATGATGAACAAAATAATTGAATAAAAAAATGTGAACAAATATTAGACAACCCTTGTAATTCGAAATGTATTTAATGACTGCAAATAAAATAGTTAGCTCCCAAAGGTTTCACCGGGACGTGCTAGGCAGGTAACAGCTAAGCTAGCTAGTTGTTTCATGGTAACTTCCGGGTTTTTCGCAATCGCTTTTTGTCACATTGAAACAGTATTTTTGTCATGAAAACGTTAACAGCAAATTCTGAAATCATCCGTGCATGTGTGTTAAGGATGTATATGTGTACTGTATTGTCCGATTGACGTTTAATGGTGTTGATTGATAGATATGTAGTTGTTTATTGAGCGTGGCTAGCTCCGCTAGCTCGTTGGCTTCTCTACACAGAAGAGTGTGTAGTGACAGGCGCTGATAGCGTTTTGTACTTGCAGAGTAATGGCAGTATTTTACACACCTGAATTACAAACAGAGATTGCATTGGGGCTTCGGTCATTATTGGTTTGAGAGTTCTGTTATCAAGAAAAAATGATCGGAAGAATTGCTGCTGCTGCTTTGAGGAGCTCTATAACAAATTATAATTAAATATTAGAATATATTCTAAGGTTTTAAATTAATACATTCGGACGCGAAACTAGCGGTATTCTTTTACTTATATATTGTGTTAGCAGTGCGTTGCTTTAGTGCCATTTCATCAGTGATTGTTGCACAGCTTACAAGAAGTTGCGCTAATGCTAATGTTAGCATATGTATCAGATCGCAAATAAAACTAGGTGGCTCTGTGTTATGAGAGCGTAGGGGAAATGAGAAGCCATTGAGCGAGTTGGGGGGCGGTGCTAAACATTCAAACATTGCAGAAACGGGTATAGCGCCTTTAACTAGAGAAAAGGGCAAAGTTACTTCATTTGAATCCCATCCCCTTATCCCTTTGAGATTTGCAAAAAGTAGACTGATAGCTCACAGTAGGGACAGGACGGTAGGATAATTGTGGCCAAAAAAAAACAATGGTAGGAATACATAAGCATGATAAACTATACCCGAAGCCAATCGAATTATATAGATCCATATGGCAGAATAGGCCTAAAAAGAATTCAGAGACCAGGTATGATTTGTTCCTGCTAATTAACAAAATGAATAGCTTATCAAAATATATGATGAAAAGTTGTCTTTCTGAATTCTACCCAGTTTGAGTTCTGCTGGAGATTTATGTAATCATTTCCACATCATTGTTTAGGTGTCGTTTATTACTCACCGTGTTGAGGCTTTTGAACAGATGCTTTGGAGCCAGCTGACCCCTGCAGTTCTTCACATACGTGCTCCAATTAAACTCTCCCTCTTTGCAGCCTGAAATAAAAGAGGCGTGTATTTCGGCAAGCTGAATTTATCTTTTTATTTTCTGATGTAATGGCAGCGTACCTTTCGGCAGCAATAGCTTGTGTCCATTCTTTTCACACCAACCGGCCGGTTTGAGATCCCACGAGTCTGCATTGGCCCAAAAGTCGTAGCATTCGGGATAACCATCAAAGTGGAGTCTTACCCTGTAGCCTTGAATCTGAGAGAGAGACATATGTTATTAACTGTGAGTTTTATCAACAGTCTTGGCTTCACTGGAACAATATTGATTCAATGCAAAGAAGTTATACAAGATTGTGTGCAAGCATTTATAACAATAAACATAAGACAAAGGACAACAACTTTTTTTAATGGTTTATGTCCGTGCATCTCAGCATAAGTACTTTACTGTCTTGCCTTCCTTGTACTAAAACCAGTACTATCTAAATGTTTGGCCTTCTAGGTGCCACAAGGTCTAAAAAAGGACTTTTCTGAAAACCAGAGCTACATAACTACAATAGCTTAAAATGATAATAACCTGAAGAGTCGGTTGGAAAATAAATCAATGTGTTGGTGCTCAAAGAAATAAATTACTAAAGTATATAAAAAAGAAGAATCAAAAAAATTTATCAATTCAAGAAAATCCTCAATAATATTACATTAAAAAAGACTTTAAAAATGGTCTGTTTTCTGTGGACAAACCTCAGCGACAGTCAGCACGCAGAAGAGGGAGGGGTGAGATGGGTCCAGTCCCTCCAGCTTCATTCCAACTCGAAAACTGTTCCTGCTCTGGGGAAAGGACTGGTGCTGAAACAAGGATAAAATGAGGATGGATATTGGACTTGTTTCATAAATGACATGGTTTTTGTCTGAACAGTGTCGGTTTTTTCATGTTATTAGAAAATGACAATATTTGATTGAGGGTGGTCCTCTCTTTTTAACTTTTCGGCCTGAAAAAGCTGATCTTGAGATAGAGGCTAAAATGCATGATGCGTGTGAAAACTAACCCAGTTTCAATTTTAGGATCTTATTCCTGGAAATGGATACTCTACAGGAACAATTTACATGGTACTCTATTGATAAGTTAATTCAACAAAAACGATACCTCTTTGAATAGTTTCACGGGTGCAGCGACAGCCTTTTCCTCTTCCAGGTACGAAGACCAACTCCACCACATTTGTTTTTTATTTGGTGGTTGCACTCCTGAAAAAAATAAACAAAAAACAAGATGCAATTTATTCAGTGCAATTTGAGATTCAATTATAAGTGAAATAAAGTTTACACACCAGGTTTAGGCAGCTTAGGACCCCGTTTGCCTTTGGCAGACTTGGATTTTTCCTACACAAAACATTAAAAAAATTACAGAACATTTATACATTTAACTCATTACATAAGGCACAAATAAAATAAATTTATGTAAATAGAAACAAAAGAAAACATTTGACAAATTGTGTTTTTGATTGTGAAATAATTTCTGAAGTTGAAAATGCATTAAATGTAAAGGACAAAGAAAGGATCAGTAATGAAACCCCTTCATAAAGTTTTAGATGAAAATTACTTTCTCCATTTACTTATAAATCCAACATGGCTTTGCCTTTTTGAAGGCAGCAGGCTGTGCCTGATTATGTTATGTTTCTCATAAAGATGAAGCTAAGGACTAGCCCAAACCCAAACATGATGTTGCTATATGAATAAAAACTCAATAAGAAAAGATCTTGCAGAATATGTCTCTAAACATATAAGGCATCATCAACCTTTATGTAAAAAAAAGTCGGCGTTTATCAGTCGAAATCCAAGCATTCAAACTGTTAAATTGAACGTCTCTTTTACCTCTGGTTCCTCTTGATTTTCTTCGTCCTCGTCGCCAGAATCCATGTAAATCTTTCTCTTCTTACGGATTCTCTTCCCCAGCCCCTCGCCTCCTACTGCCTGGTGTTCTCTGGGTTCTGCTGGAGATGACCTAGGGAAAAAAATGGTTTCTCATTCGAATAAAAAAAATAGTTTTGCCTAAAAATTAATCCATTGACATGTTTATATGTTTTCTACATAAGATTAAACATTTAACACCAAACTGCTAACTGAAGTACAGATGATGGGTGAGCAACCTTCCTTTGATTTAATGCCAAAGAAAATATAATCAATATTATGTTTGAGAGCCAAAAGGAACACAAAAGTGTATGATATCTGTTGTTTAAACAGCGTTATCACCTGCCACTGGAGGGCTGGGCACAGATGCTGCTGCAGTATTTGTTCTGAATCACAGCGTCTTTGGCCACGCTCGCTCCACACGCCGCACACCTCAGCAGCTCCACATTGGCCTCTGCTCCCTGCGCCACCTCCACACTGGGACCCACCTCACCCAGGCTTTCCATCTTGGGGCTTTTCTCTGCACACAATCAAACATGCGCAAGCTAGACTTAGGGCAGCACAGTATCAACAAATCACATTAAATGTCTACAGAAACAAGAAACCTATTCCTCCAAGTCTGTTTTCCACTTTAAGCCAGTTGACATCAAATAATTATTATATTTTTTTTTCATCTATAAGATATACCAACCAAATTCCAAAGGCCTAGAAATTTGAATTTTCCAAGGCAATTCTTAGTTTCATACAGATTATTTTATCTCCTTGATTCTGGCCTTGAATGAAGGTCTTTAATATAATAGCAGTCCTTTTTTAGGTCGATATGCTTTGTGTGGTTTTGTTATGCTAGTATAGTTACCTTTGGATGCTTGTGATGATCCTGGTGGTGAAGGGTTTGTAACTGGGGTGGTCTGCTCTGGAGGAGGAGTGGGAGTATGAGACGCTGGTGCAGTCACAGGTGCACACTTAGGCTCCGGCACTTTGGGCCCTAGATCCGTTACAATTTCCAATGTTCCAAACTCAGTCATGCGAAACTACAAAAAGAGATGAAAGCAACCTTTAAACTAAATAATACAATATGTTGTACTGGTGATTGATGAATTTAGTCAGTGATTCATATTCCAATTATTTATCACACAAACAACAGAGAGTATTCAGCAAAATAGAAACTAGCCTACTTATATTGAATTAACCTTGATGTCACTGCCAGGGAGAGTTGCAATACCGTCTTTCCAGTCTAAAGCACCCATCATATCAAACTCGGTTCCCTGAGAAGGGCCATCACTTGGTGGAGTGTCAGTCATAACCAGCCTAGAAAAAACAAATACGAAATTGTTTACATTTACATACACTTAGATCAACGCCAGCACTTGACCATTTCAAATGGGATGTCATGACTCATGATATTCTAGAATATACTTTAGTTATTACTTTATTCGTTAGTATTAAGCCTATCCAAATCACTAGATTGTATATCCCCACCCACTGCATGCTCATTTTGACCAGACGGCTCCAGACTGCCCCTAAAAGGTTGTGTTTGTCCCTATTTTTGTGAATCTGCTAATATTTTTCTAGAACTTGCTAATAACGAATTTTACACATCAGAACTATTTTTCCCTTAATCTTCTGCACGTGCCAGTTAAACCTGTCATTCATGAGCTTTCATTGTTGAATTTTCTTTAACCTGAAACCTGGTGGATTGTATGTTAAATCAAATTATTGACCTGCATAAATACATTCTAATGCAACAACAATGGTACATATTACTGTGTGTCTTCTTCAAATAATTATCAGCTGAATATGTGCTCATTTCTATCCTCCACACATCTGATTGAGGGTTCTAAGGGTAATCCAGGCATCTACACCTATCTTTATAAATAAACTATGGATGGAGCAATACATTTCTTAAAGCTCGACTGTCATCTTGCACGAACACGCGCCGAAACATCTCAGATCCTGCAGAACTGCACTTGTGACGGCTGCACTGCGCCTCATCCCCACTAGATGGCGCATGTGTATCTGCCTGGGCGACACCGTGCACTTCGATATCAGACAAACAGTGCAACATATTATTGTTTTAGTCAAATGAATAATGGCTACATGTGAACGCAAATAGTCTCAACACACAAAAGCCAAGTTAAGGCATTCACGAAGCATAACAAAATGTGACCCAACTTCATGTTAGGCACACAAGTTTATGTTTTCCTCGTTTTAACAGTATCCCTGGAAAACGCCGCTTTGCCAGCGTAAAATGCATCATGAGTGCGGATCCTCCACAGGATTTACAACAAACACTAACTTAAGTGATGATATGTCGAACTTCATTCTGGTTTTGTCTTATAAATATGACGCTATAACGTTTTAATCTTCATAGCCATTTGAGTCTAAAATAACATCAATTTTGGAGGTGTCATGGTCAAAATAACCCCGTGGAAAGTTATTAACACTGTAACCTTGACAGTTCTGGTAAGGTTTGACGATACACTAAATATTCTAGTTTTATTCTAGCAGTAAATGAAGTGTATGGAAGAGCGCCCATGATTAGCATTCGCCTTAGACAAAATGGCGGAGCATAGGAAGAGGCCACCAACACGTTTAAACTATAAAAATACTCTACTTACGCATTAAAACTATATCAAAAACGCATGTGTGGGTCCCGCAGAGTCCTGTCGTTGCAACGCAATTTTGAGATCAATTGTTTTTTTACGAACTTGAGATTTTCTTTACTTTCCCCTTGTCACGGAATGTCAGCCCAGGTTTTAGCTAGCGCAGACGTGATGCTAACAGCAGCTAGCATTCTCCGTTGAAATGAACGGAAGGAGTGAGCTAGCCGTAGCAATGCGAGTGACTGATGCAGCAGCCAGCTAAGGACAATCTGTAATAAATAAGTTTATCGCTCAATATGAACCCGAAACACCTTATGCAAAAATATTAAACAGACAACTCAACAACTCCCAGTTCTATCTCATCACTCCTGTCCGTCAATGCAACGTTGCCTGGTTTATTTTCTTCAATAGAAACTTGATAGAAACGATTTATTCTTTCCGTTTTAAATCAGGGTATGAATTGCGAAACTATGAGTAAATAAAAACACGCTAAATAGTCTTTTGCTTTGGATACGCTTAGCTCAAATCAGTAAAATAAACGGTATTTTTGTTTAGAAATTGTGCAACTCACCTCGTTTCTGTTTTAACTCTTATTTAGAGCTGGATGGAAGGATGCGCATGCGCAGTGGATGCGCTGTTGACAAGTTTGGACCTCGGAAAAGTTCAGTATCGCAGGTCAATAACAGACTTGTGCGGGCTCATAGCATTCTACAGTCACGTATTAGCTCTGCGTGAATCATCCGTATCCATTTATTTAGCCCCAAATCATAGGCTTAACCAAAACTACGACAGGGAAACCGATATGCGCATGGCGTGAATGGAGCGACCGCACTGTCTGTCCATGCAGTTCATATAAGATTGAGGCAGTTCCTTTATGACAAAATATGAATTACCTTAAACTTATGCACAATAAACCCTTAACCTCGGCTCTATGAAAACGACAAGTTGATTTATGTGAAACCACGATGCCATGTTTTAATGTTCAATGCAACCGCGCACTAGCGTTTTCAACCAAATGGAGAATGTTGTTGCAGCATTGTAGTGGTTATATGATTGAGCTGCTATGTGAGTTTCACTGTGTGGGCTAGGCTTCCCCAAGTCTAATAACCCATTGTGTAGACGTGCGACACAATTCCCTTTCACTCGTGCTACAATTCTGGCATTTTTGCAACTAAAGACGTCAAATATGCAGTTTTGTTCAGTGGTCTTTCTATCTGTGCAACATGGCAACAATATATGAAATAGGCGTGTGGATGCAGTCCATCTTTACTGAGTGGTGTAGACGCCTTTGCCGAATGACTGCGAGCGATATGCCATCAACTTACTGTGCTTTATAACCATCGCATTTGTGTTTATATTCTTCCATCTAGTATCACTGTGTCAATTTGATCAGCCTCGTGACTACAATCCCAAATTGAACACGATTATTTGTATAAACAGGGCAGTTTTATCCCTGCGCAAGAGAGAGTGGATTAACACAATGTAAAACTGAGGGCATTAGACATGACGAAATAACAATTCGAAATGACGTTGGACCTGTTGGATGTTATATGTGCTTTGATGGTCTCCAAAAAACAACCTACATTTACAACACGAGGTGAAATGAGTTTTGGTTTTGCAGAAGCGCACTGTCAGCTTTGGTCTCTAGGTGGCAGTACAAGTCCATTCTTTTGGTCAGGATCACACGGATTATCATGAAGCTGGGGAATATGTCAACAACACACAATAGCAATTAAACGACAAAAGATGACATGGCATTCAATGGAAAAGCGGTCGACTCCAAGGTAAGACCGCTCATGTAAGTTGTTGATCATTTTTTGCCTTCTTCTAATGAATGAAAAAGGCAGCTCGTGACCAGCCATAGCCTTGATAACGTACGTATCAGGCTATGATCATAGGATTGTGTAGGTGTTTCTGAGTTACCTATATTTGGTTATTATGTGCTGTCAACTTGGTGCAGTCTGGATTTTAAAATGCATTGGTTTTGTTCCCACAGACCGTGTTTTTCAACTTGCTGCTGTGCATGATCATCTTCTACAGTCTTTTCTATATGATTGGGAGCGTTTGCTTTGGTGCGTTCAGGTAAGATACACGCATGCGCAGAACAAAAACAACATCTATTTTTTTTAAATGCCCTGTTTTTGTGGTCATCTCATAATCAGGAGGTAAATTGGATAAAATATTAGTATATCTGGGTGATGCATAGGCCTACATAGGGTGACAAGATTTTGAACATCTAGTGACTTGAAATGGTGGAGAAACAGTGTTGAGCAAAACAGTTTCTAATGTATTTAGTTCTAGAATTTTGAATACCTTATCATATAATTTGTTGCATATTCAGTTACATGGTCCAATCAGACTACAACTTTTACATCGGATTGTATTAGTTGTTAATTTAATGTGCAACACATGATTGTTTTGTTGTCATATCAAGCCTTTTGAAACCTATCTTATATTTTGTAAAAGTAACTGCATTCGGAAGCCTATAACTTCATAGCAAACACTATGAAGTTATATTTATATAACAGGTATTAATAATTATTCTGCTCTCCATTCCAGACATTCTTTCCTAGAATCTGTTGTGTTTTGATCATTTTGAATCAGTGTTCTATTATTTAGCTAAACAAAAAGGATAGTCCCCTCTCAATTGATTGGTATAAAAATGGTCCAAAAGATTTGATGATTGTCTTGTCAAATACTGTGGCAATACAATGGTTTTGCATACATCCACTGGGACAAGGAATAAAAGCCTCAAAACTGAGACTGTCCAGGGTCTAATCCTCTCATAATTTCCCAGGTTAAATACATTTGATGGACTCATCCCATTTGACTTCAAGACTGATCCAGCCGAATCAAACTCCAAATATTTAGGTTCAGAATTTTTCTTTTATCAACCTCTTTATACATGTAGTTTATTATATTTGATCCTATTGTTCAATTTATCGGTTTCCTTACAGTCAACCTTGTGTCTTTGGAGCTCACATATTTCTGCAGTGGCCTTTTATTTGCAGCTGTGGTGAGGAGGCGGGTTTGGGACTATGCCCTTACAGTGACTCTTCTGCATGTTCTCATCACCAGCCTTGGTAAAGATGCATTCAAAGTCACATGGATAAAACCAACAAATGTTTTGAACTTATCGGTTTTGTCTTTGTTGCAGTGATGATGGAGTTTCCCTTGTTGTGGCAGTGGTGGCTTGCTTTAGGTTGGTATGATAAAACAGCCTTTCTAAAAACGTTTTTCACCACTTTTGGCACTGGTAAACTAAGAGCTGGTTATATTTGTATAGAACTAGAAGGCTCTATATCACATTTATGATATTTTAGGGGAATCTAAGATTCTAAAATACTGACTTGTAGGCATGGAGGAGGGGCGACAGTAGCTCAGTTGGTAGAGCATCTCTGCAACCACCTCTTCTCCACCGACTCCCACTGATGACTGCTGTCGTTGTGTCCTTGGGCAAGACACTTAACCCCACTTTGCCCAAAGCCCCCACTGAAAGATCAAGGCTATGCTCACACTCAGAGAGCAGCCGTCCTCCTGCAGAGGGTCAGTGAGGGGCTGGTGCTATGAGACTTGGGTGGCATCTCTGATTGCCACCCCCCTGGCCCAGAAATGGATTAAAGGGTAGAAAATGGATGGATGGATGGATATTAGTACATTAAAATAAAGAAAGCAACAGTGTTTCTCTAAAATGATTATTATGTGACATATCTCTAGTAGCCAACAGTTGTCCAAAATAACAGGACTGTTCACCAGCTGTGCACAATACAACATTTCTAAACCAGGGGTCTCCAACCTATAACTTGGTAGCCAGCAGTAGCGCACCATGGATTTAGACATTTTATAAATCATCTGCTGAATCAAATCAATCGCAGCAGAGGTTGTCTCAAAAGGAGGAACTATTGATTTGCCAACAGCACATTATAAAATCAAACCATTATAACGTTGCACATGCAGACTATTGAACTACTGTAAAGGCAAACTTAAACTGTGCACTGATAAATGGTTAACCAATTGAAAGATGGGTTTTATGTATATTATATTGATGACAAGCTCAACCTTAATTTTGCCCCAATATTATTTGACCACTTGAAAAGTAGCTCTTTTAAATTTTTGTGCAGAAAAAAGCTTTCCAGGGGAACAAGGATAAAACCCATGGTGTAAACCTTTCCAGAACAAACACATTTTTTGGGCAAAACCAAACCTTTAAAACAAACAATATATACTTATCCGGGCATGCCCACCAGGTGGAGGGCCTGGAGATGACCCATGACCCAGCTCAGCTGGCCTGTGAGCACGTCAGTATTCCCTCGGAGCTGGAGAAAGTGTGTGTTGACACACTTGCTTGGATTGCAGACTTCCACCCCGGCAATGGAGAAAGTGGAAAATGGAAAACTTATGACATTTTGAGTCGCTCATCCTGCTGATTCTGCACTTCCATCATTAACTGTATATAAATGTTCCCTCTCTCTCCTCAGGTTGTGGGTTATTCTTGATGATCTGCAATGGTCAGCTGATTGCCTACTTCGCCTGTCAAAATGACCAGACCTATGCCTCATTTAGTATTTATTAATTGTAAGGAGATATACAAATAATCTGTATGCCATTGTTAACAAAAGTCCAAAGCTTATTTTATGTAGTATTATTATGAAAGACAAGATGCCAATCAAGAGATGTGACTAGTATTGTCCAAGTTGTTTTTTGATATTGTAAATTGAAAGTATGCTGCAATAAATAAATACACTTAAATTAGAAATATAAGTTTTGTTTATTATTTAATATGCTAGTTCAATGAAGTATGAAAATAAAATAAAAATAAATGTTCAATAAAAAATAATATTAGACTTAATGTGTTGAATTATTCAATACATTTAGGTCAACATGTTAGTTGAAAGTAAAATAATACATTCATAAATGTTAACAGTATTTATGAGGTAATCTCTGTAGGGTTCATGTAGGAGAATCCGGAGAAGACCTCACTGGCGCCCCCTGGCTGTGTCCTTCCATTTACACCCACAGACGCGGGCAGCGGCTGTAACGTGAACTCTGGATCAATGTAGCAGATGTCACAAGGGCCAGACTGAGGAAAAACGTGAGAAACATTAGTTTAATTTCCAAAAATATTACATCTACAATGCAACAGAAAAAGGAAACCGTATTTAATTCATATCGTATTTAATTCAAGAATAGAATACAATGTAATTGATGTCAATCTTTTCTGGGAGATGAAGACAATTCATGTTAAAGCCCATGTTCTACCCTTGATTCTTTATACAATTATAGTTACAATGTTCATTGACATGTTGTGCACAACCACTGGGCACTTACCACATTTGGAATGAATGGAGGTTTGATCTTCTTGGCTAAGAGTTCGTCAAAGTCCAGAGATTCAAAAAAGGGGTGATCCTGGATATCAGCCTGCAATGAGATATAAAAAATTACAGTAACAGCACAAATGTTGTGTGCAATTTAAACAATTAAGTACATACCATGTCAGCAGTGCACCCTAACCGCGTGGTCACGTCTCTGTCCAAGAGCCGTTCTAACAGAGAACGAGCTGCTTTTGACGCACCGGCGGGAACTTTCAGAGGAGCGTGAAGAATATTTTCAAACATGTCGGCTTTGTTTTGACTATAAAATGGAGGCTAGAAAAAGGCAAGAGGGAAAACAGGATTACGGTAAGTTCCTTTCTACTGAGATGTAAAGAATAGGTGCACATTGTGCCACTAACTTTTAATGCAATCATTCACTACTCTGCCAATCCAACCTGAGCTGAACTATGATCACGTTTACTAACTAGAACTAGATAAAATGCTAAAGTTTATATCATTTTTATGTTTCACTGCTTTTTTTCCTTCTGAATAAATGGTGAGCATTACAACTTACAGTTACATGAGTGAAAGCGCAGTACGAAAATGTATGTGACATAAAAAGTAGCACACAAACAAAATAAAATATATTATAATTTGTATTTAGTTGTATGTAAAAAAAAATATATACATATACAGTAATGATCTTTACAAACTAATCAGGCCTAAAGTGTGGAGTTGGTCTGTGTCTAATTGAAGCCTTCACTCACCAGGCTAAAGAGCATCTCGAACAGGACGCTGCCGAGGCTCCACCAGTCGACTGTGGGGCTGTAGGGCTGCCCCTGGAGCACCTCGGGGGCCAAGTACTCGGGTGTCCCACAGAACGTGTGCATGACTCCGCCCATGGCCACGCCCTCTTTACACAGCCCAAAGTCTGTCAGCATCACATGACCGTCACAGTCCAGCAAGATGTTTTCAGGTTTCAGATCCCTGTCCACACAAACAAGTCATTATTACAACAATGGAGCTTGGAGTAGATCTGCTACTCCTCCAGATCAAGCGGAGTCAGCCGAGGTGGTTCGAGCACCTGGAGACCTCCCTGGACACCTACCTTTAGAAGTAAAGGTAGGTGTCCAGGGAGTATTGTTACTCAAACTATTGATTCATAATTCTAATTTAACAATCAATCGTCTATTCAACAACTTTTAGTGATCAATTGACTGCTCCAAATAAAAGCCTCACAGATGTATGTGTGAAATGTGTTTTAAGCTCAAAAATTACATTCAATAGAAATGTGTAAATGTTTCCTTTGTCATGATAAGAATGAAATCTATTAAGATATCCTTTGGTGGATTCAGCTTTTTCTTGGTCATATTGAAATAAAATATCACATTTGCATTATAAATCAACTAATCAATTAATCAAAAGAATGATTGCTTGATCAATCCATCATCAACATCCTCCTTAGTTACAGCTCTATAATAATCTTTCTACTGTATAACTATGATGTTACATAGCTATAAAAGAAAAACGTCTGTATTGGAAAATTGAACCATATGAACGTAATAATCAGTTATTCTCCCTATATGTACCTGTAAACTATTTTCAGAGAGTGAAGGTAGCCAAGAGCCAATGCCATCTCCGCTGCATAGAAAGACGACCTCGGCTCAGGAAAGGACCCCTCTCTTTGAAGATGGAAGAAAAGCTACAAAAACAACAGACATTTTTTTTTTTCAACAGCTGCTGGAAAGAACTGGTTTCCACTGGGGCTGGTTGAGAATAGGATGACCCAGCCAGGTTTACAGTTACTTTGAAAGAAATATTGCGCTGTCATTGCAGTTTTGGCATACCTCTCCTCCATTGACGTAGTCCAAGACGAAGTAGAGCGTGTTGGGTGTTTGAAACGAAAAGTGAAGCCCGACTAAAAAAGGATGGTCCAGTCCCTTCAGCAGGACGCTCCTCTCCACCATCACGTGCCGCTGCTGTCAGGGCCACAATTCAGAGTTTAACGTCATGTCGGAATGTACCGATATGCAATCCTCTCTGTGCCGCAATACCGTCATATGATATCGATAATGGTACTTTAAACATGCAAGCACAATTGGAGATGCGGGGGCTTACAAACATCAATATCTAACTTGCCTCTCTCCTTTTCACGATCAAATCCTTCTGTAGCACTTTCACTGCGTAGTATCCTCCCTGGGTCCTGTGTCTTGCCAGAAGCACCTGTATAAAAAACCATATTGTCTGATTAGTTAACGATTCAATAATGACTGGGACTGGAAACATTGGGGAATATTTGGAAACAAAAATCTCACCTTTCCAAAACTTCCCTTTCCGATGAGTTTGAGATAATCAAAGTCAGACGGTTTCATTCTAAAGAGAGAGAATGAGGAAGAAAAAAAAAAGGTGATTTTATAGAATGAGGTAGTTACCAAACTCTAGAATATCGAATATGCTTGTACTAATGTTAAGATTTAAACCCAAAAGACTTTCAAAGATTAATTTCACACGTTTGAGCATTACATTTCAATATAGGTCAGTCAACTAGTGATTTTGGCAACAAGTTTTGTGATGGACATTGATATAGCTATATAATGATACTCCTACGCCTGTAGTAAATAAGCTGTACAGTGCAGATACTCACAGCGCAGTTTCGTGGTCGGTTGAGTCCTACAAATGAAAAATGGCACAAAGTTATAGTCAAGTCAAAAGGTCAGATTTGGTTTCTTGACATGTCAACAGCAGTTAAAGCCCAGCATGCTCACCAGTGTGCATTTCTCCTGCCGCCTCCTCAACTTGCCCTGACTGCGGAGGAGCTTCTGTGTATCTGATCTAAGGAAAGTAGAGAAAGAGGTGGATAGATATACACAGTTTGTCATCACTTTGGTATCGCTTATCTCATTCACCTGCATGTATTTTGGCCTCTGTCACCCCTTGAATCATTTTTCAGATGGAAAAGAGAGGATAATTCTCACAGCCAATCAGCCCAAAGCATCAATTAGTGCATATGCTCTTTTAAAATATGTAAAAGAGAATATGTTTTCCAATCAGATGAAGCATGCTGTGTTCTGATCGACACTTTTATGTTACAAGACTCTGTTGAGGCAAAGTCCAAGTCCATGTATTTTATTTACAAATGTCCAAACATTTAGGTCATAACTTAAAGGCATTGTGTCATTTGGACAGACAATGCTCTTCTTATATTAATTTAATTTACTTCCCACATGTAGGTGTTAAGCTGCTGTAGCCCCAGCTGCCCTGAGGTAGGCCAGTCTGTGCTGTCGCTCTTTCTAAACCACAACCAATCAATCACTCACACACCAGACTCATACCAGGCAGTGTTTTGTCAAAGGACACAACCACAGTTTGCCCTAGAACCACTGTTTGACCTGGTGTTACTGTGGTCTGGTTTTCCATCCAAGCACTAACCAGCCTCCAGCTTACGTAACCTGTGAGATCTGAGAAGCCCCATTGCCCAATTAAAGAGATAAAAGCAAAGAATACAATCTTTTAGTCTAATTTTTTTTTGCAATTAGGGTTTGGAGCATGTTTCCTGGATTTGAACAAGAAATGTCTCTTTAGGCATGTGTGATAAAGTAGGCCAGGCAAATAGATGGACAGATAGTGTAAGTAACAGTCTTGTTAGGAGATATCGTTCTAAGAAGACCAAACGAGCCCTACCATAATGTCAAATGTTGCATTCGTGGTTTTTATCATCTTACCTCTGGCAGAACTGCTGGCTGGACACTATTTTGTGAACGAAGTCAGTGAAGCCCCCCTTCTTTCCTTTGAGGAGAGCTGCGAGGGAGGGCAGAGAGCAGCTTACATAAGTGTAACCTTTAATTATTTTTCAATTGTCCTGCTATAAGCTCTAGGATTTATTGATACACAACCAATACACATGGTATTGTTTTACATTTTGCTTTTCAAATAAATTCCAATATTGATTCAATGCTTCTCTGTTAAACTGAAAAGTAACTTGCTTCTAACATAGATGGGCAATGTCATTTCTGATGAATTGTCAAGTATCTTATTCTTGTAGCAATTATAAGTGAGTGTAATCGGCTCTTACCTGAGAAAAAACTGACTAAACCTTTCATTTTCGAATAGGTCATCGGTCGATCCTGTGTCACGGTCATTGGGGCAGTGGTTTTCTTCCTTATCCCTGGTGGAGCGTCTGGAGAGGGCTATGGATCACACAGACCGGTCCAGCAGCAGCAGCGCTCCTACTCTGGACCCAAAAGTCCTGGTGCCTTTTTTTAATGTCTATCTGCGATGAGGGGGGTGTTGCACTGCTGCGTTCAAAGACACTCGAAGAAATAGTTGGCACAAACGCGCACTATCGCTTTACTTCAAAATCACGGGGCAATAATACAATACATTCATAGTAATAATATGGACTAGCCCTCATTATGACCTACCCTTTCAAATTAATATTGTTTTACTGTAAATGAAAGTAAATATTATACTAGAATTAAAATGTTGTGAAATGTGAAGTTTGTTATCATGTAACACAGTGTGAATAAACACTTTATTTATGTAAATTATGTTTTCTTCCCAGAGCTTGTATTGTAAAAGCACAACATTGGCCGTCAACATCCGCTACTCCTCGTCTAAGATCCAAGTGAGTTTAGTGAGTAAAACGCAACTCTGGTTAGTAATGGTTATATTTAATCGTGAGCACCGATGATGTGCCAAAGTAAGGACTTGTGACGGATGAAAGCAAGTTGTCGGGATAAAAAGTAATGTTCAAATCCCTGTAAAAATGAATCAATTAGAAACTCTGCGCATAGAGTCCCTAAAATCCGCTCGTAAGTGAAGGCACCACGCTGACCCACTGTCCACGCGGTCTGGGACTGTGGGCAGTTCTGGCTGGAGCTGCCCTGAACCAGCGCTCGCAGTCTCAGACACAGAGCCACATGGGGCTGACAGAGACAGGCGCACTGACAGAGCCGCGGTCTGGTCTTCGTTTTGAGTTTGTATCACTTGAATTCATTATAGGTTATTTGCTAAAGGGATCTGTTTTGAGTGATTTGTCTTTGCTTGTGGCCTACTTATTGTTGTTGCATTGTTGCTTGGTGTCCTGGATTTGGTTGTGATAATGATAAATAGCATCCATTAAAACAAGGTAGTGTCCAATAGCCTTAACTCCAAATTCTTTCTTCATCTATCTGTCTGTCTGTCTTAGCTCCTTTTTTGGCTCTGCCTAAGAACTAGGTTATATTGACATTTGACATTGGGCCAGTTGACCCATATTTTTCAGACCATAAGTGCCATTCGTGTACTCTGAACACTGGACCTTTCATATCTTTATGTAACTTGGCTGGCAGGGTCTGCGGTCCTTAGAGTAGAATTTCCACTTTTTGGTTAGAGTGGACATTCTAGCTTCAGAAAGACAAACAGGCCAACCTAAGGCTGGGCGATGTGGCAAAAAATGCATTGTTCCAGATGGACTGCTACTATTTTAAATCAAAGTCACCAAAGTCAATTTAACTAAATCTCAATATTCAAGTTTCAAATCCTAAAAGTATTGCACGTGCACTGGCCTCTCAAATGTAATCCAAGTTTCGCCTTTTCTTGAAACACACTGCTCTTTCTGAACTGCCCTGTAGTTGGAACTTGCTCAACGACAGAGACTCTGAGAAGCAGAGGTGGAACACGAGAAGAAACTGCCACATTATCCTTACCTTGATTTAACCATTTTTACCTTTTTCATATGATACATTTTCAAAAAGAAAGATTAATCATATATTTTATTTTATTTGCCCAGCCTTAGGTCTACTTACAGGTGAGATCCTTGGAGAGGCTACAGAAGGTACAGGTTTTTCATGGTATCTCACACCAATAATTGCATGTAATTGAATGTCTTGAAACAATACATTTTGCATTGGACCTCATAGACCTACAGTATATACTCCCCTGCCATAGATAAAGTAACTATGTAAAAACCTAAGCCAGTTCCTTCAGTGTATAACCCCACTGATCCTATGTCATCCTTGTAACGGCTGGACCTGTCAACGCGTCCACTTTTAATGGCTGACTGATATATGGGAGCTTCCCGGTAGAATTTCATTTAACGTCATGTTAAAATGGTGTAAGAGTTCATTAAACAACATAGCAACAAACATCCCACACTATCTCTTAACTGCCGGTTACATAATGATTAAAAGACTTACGTAATTTTATTTAGTCAGCACAAGATGTGATGAAGTGATATTTTAGTATCCCTGCAAAGGAAGCTTTTCGGGGATGTAGATTGTTACTATGAGAAATCAGAATATCAAAATAAATTACATCATCTAATGTTTGGTGTTTTATACACTGCTCTTTTCAATACAAAGCTTTTCTTTTACTATTTTATTAGCTATGGATGAAGTCTAGAAGTCAATAAATATGAAACAAAGACAAAAATAAATTTTACAACAATTTGTAACAAAAGAAAATTGTCTTTCTTTCCTCCAAAGAATTAGATCGGTTGTTCTCTGGGCCATTGCACATTATTTACAAAAAAACCTTTGAAAATCTCCCAATTTTTTTTGAGATATCAATTAAATCCTGCCGTATAGGATTTTGTGGCATTATTTATTCAAATTATACACTATAATCTGTTGTAGCTAGTGCCATGCTCTTTGGGGTTGTGTGTTGGGGTGGAAGTCTGACCTTGAGAGACAGTAAACAGCTCGACAGGCTGATCAGGAAATGTGTCTCTGTGCTGGAGAGAAGGATGAGGGCTCTAATGCAGGGCATCCTGGGTAACTCCAGACACCCTCTATCACTTTGGCCGCTCAGAGGAGTAATCGCAGCAACAGGCTCCTATCGCTGCGCTGCCGAACGGAACGTTTCAAGAGATCCTTTGTTCCTTCGGCTGTCAGACTGTATAACAAACCTGGATGAGTCTTCTGCTGCTGGACACATGAATTTCTCCTACGGGGGATCAAAAAAGTATTTATCCATCTATCTATAGTAACCAAGCTACTCATGTCCCCGGAGCTGCCCTGCGGCAGACTGACAGACGTGAGGCAACCATGATGGGCCATCGCCCACTCTGACCACCATCCTCAAACACACCAGACATGCCAACATTTTGGCAGTTTGGTGTTCCCAGAGGTCTCCCATCACAGTACTGACCAGGCCTGGCCCTGCTTAACTTATGAGGAAAGATAGAATTATGCTCCAGGCTTTCACATAAAGGTCAAAATAAAAATTATAATTTTAGAATTTTAATACATTATAATCAACATATAATCAGCTGTTTAATATGAAATAAAGGGAATATCGGGTGTTGGCCGGCTGCAGAAATGTGACTCTGGCTCACGTCAGATTCGCCTCGAGGTTTAAATTTGGAGCGAGAGGTTGAGGGCAGGTCTGGTACACCATGTCTTGGTTACTGTTGCAGAAAGCTGATCCTTACAGCAACAAGGTGGTAGCAGTGGTGTAATAGTAGTGGTATGGTACGGAGAATTAAAAAAACCTGTACTTCTTTGTTTCCACTCCAACAGGCAGGGCTGGAAGTATGTTTGTAGTATTTGTACTTAACTTACTTAAATATGACAAACACCTTCCTCTTCCCAAATATAAATGTTCTACTCTTTACTTTAACAATAAGTTAGATAAAGGCCCTTGCAGATGATGACAAAGAATACAAAACATAAAACACATAAAAAGACATAAAAAGTTCAAGCATGGACAGGTTTGAAGTGGTTATTCATGCTTCTAAGTTTATCAATACAAGTTTGAACTGGTTAGCCATGCTTCTAAGTTTTTGAACGCAGGTTTACAGTGATAGGACAACAATGTTCATTATGATGCTACTTTTTCCGTTAGAAATTACATTAGACTATAACAATGTTTTCTCAGTTCCTCCCCTTAAAGCCATGTCCCAGGCACTGCTAATAATTGTACTCATATAATAAAGATGTATCTATTATTGAGCAAAAAGGTACTATAGGCCGGCACAAGTACAAAACATGTGAGGGTATGACTTTAGTATTTTCTCTTTTAGTAGTTTCAGGAAGGTTTATCTTGTCCTCTTAGTAGAATAAAGGGATTGGATTCTATAACAGTTTTTCTATATGAGTATATGCTTTGAGTTCAGTACATTTGCCACTTGTGGAGAGCATTAATAATAACTGTACCGCTTTGTCCCAAGTCAAACCAAAAATGACCTGGACACTGTCAGTCTGACCCACAAGGGGAGTGGACTGGATTGAACCGGTGTTGCCCCTTTGTGTGTTTGGAAAGTGACGTCTGCAGCAGATATAACTGATTCAGGCACACTTGAAAGTACACACTCAACAATCACACACACAAATAGGAACAACTGTGGGGCTGGACTCAGATACTTCCCCAAATTAATACTAATAATGAATGTTTCAATTCAGCTGTCCCATACGGCAGGAGTTCTCAAATGTAGGAAGCCCAAAATAGGAGGGTTTTGAACATGCCACATATAGCCACCTATAACCCTAACCCTTCAAACAATTTAAAGTTTCAATGAATGCTAAATCCATTGTATTGATATTTATCTGCATCATTATTGTGAAATATTTGACCTCACCTTACTTCAATGATTGTGTCACAGCAATTAAAATAATCGAGTAAATGTATCTTTAGAATCACCTCACATTCCCTAGCTTTGTGTGTTGTGCCCCCCGCTTTGGGAACCACTGCCATAGAGTCAAAGTATGATGGAAACTACTACACATAAAAATATGCACCAATTTAAATGGATCTTCACTTACATTTGGAAGGTAATGGGCCTATGGGAGTCTCCAAAAGTTTGAGAACCCTTTGGCTAATGCACGATATCCTGACCTTAATACAACATGAGATTTTCTTTGACTGATGTTAAAAGTTGAATGTTTTCTAGAAAAACACAATACAGTCTACAGGAGTAGACTGAACAAGCTGGTCAGGAGGGCCAGCTCCACTCTGGGCTGCCCCCTGGACTCTGTGGAGGAGGTGAGGGACAGGAGGGTGCTAGTCAAAGTCACCTCCATCATGAACAACACCTCCCACTGCACAGGACTGTAGAGGAGCTGAGGAGCTCCTTCAGTGGAAGACTGAGACACCCTCAGTGCAAGAAGGGCGCTACCGCAGGGCCTTTATCCCCACTGCTGTCGGACTGTACAATAAGTCACTTTAAGTCACTGGACTGAATAACCTGCACTACTATTGACACTGTTTCTTGATTGCCACTTTTGAATTGCCACTTTTTAGTGTACATAATATATCCTAAATTTAACATGTTTGCACATTTCTTTCTTTTGGACAATCTTGAGTGATTCTATCCATGCCACCATCCTGTGTGAGATGAATAAAGTCTATCTTATCTTATCTTATTTATTATTCACAAATTGCAATAAGTAACATTTACAGTACGATTATAGAACATAACCATCAAATCTGTTCATTGTTTTTTCATTCTGAATTATTCTGATGTGCTCGAGAAAAAAAAAAACACATAAACTCTATATATTTATATATATCTGTATATTTATAAAGAGAGTTACAGAGACAGTTAGGGTTAGTGAACATATATTTTTCTGTATGGCTTACATACAGTAAAATATATGTTATAATTGTTTTTGACACAAGAAATTATTATTGCAATGTATTTAAGTTATATCTCAAATGCAGAACACAAACAGACGATATAAATTAAAAGCAAAAAAAATCTGCTATTACGCAGTACTGAATGTCTCCAAAAGATGGCGGCAAAGAACCAGCTTGAAGCGTGGGCCTATCTGACATTTTTTTTGTTTAAATGGTACACGGCCGCTACGGCTTGATTAACTGATTAATGCATGAATGAATGAAATAACTATTATAGACAAACTCGTTAAAACCACTATTGCAACTTGTTTGCATAGTTTGTTAACTATAAAGTATAGTTTCGCTCTTACATTTTGTAGTTACAGCGAGACAGTGCTAGAAAGAGGTTAGTACATTCATATTATCTTTATTAGTGAAATTATAATGTTGTACTTTTTACAGTCTTTGACCGCTAGATTGAGAAAACAGCGATAAGTAAGTTAACATAATAATGATAATTTTTATAATAACGAGTCGTTGCTAGGTAACATACAACCAGGAAGTGAGATATATGAAATTTGGCAAGCTGGTACACAATTTATCAAATGTTTTATCAAGTTCGGCAACTCTTTCTTGCAATGTCACGTCAATGAGTTTAGTGTGATGGAAGATGAAACGCGTGCTGTCTCATCTGTCACAAACACACTTCAAAATTTGCGCGTCCGTAATCTAAAACTGTCGGGAGCGCGCACGGCGGAGGGCGGGGCACGCGCACGGAGGGATGAGAAACTTGTCCCGGATATTTACCCAACTCTACCTGGCTCCCTCCACCTCTGCAAAGGCTTTACTCTGCGAGGAAACTCACTATGAACCCTTCCCGAAGCGATGCGACACAGGTACCCACTCTATTTCCGCCTATATTCCTGTTTTTCTCACTAACGTATCCAAGTCTGTCACATTACGCGCTTGGACAGAAAGTTTTTCGGGATTTGCAGTGCTCTCTTGTTGTTGTGGTGGTGGTGGGTGGTGTTCGCCGAAACTTCAGGTTAACAGGTTCCTTGTTCGCGTTATGGGTCAAAGTACAACTCAGTTAAAACGGATTAGCTATCGTCAGACACAGTTGCTCCAGATTATAAACAAACACACACGCTTTATGCCACGACATGGATTTGAACCTGGAATTACAACAATGTCCTACTGTGTGAGCGAAGTGACCTTACAGATTTTATCAACGGATATTATGGCCAGCAATGTGTTTATGACTAATAGGCCATAAAGGGTTATTTAATATCCTCCTGTACAGTTGATTTTGAATTAATGTACTGTTAGCAGAGAAAAATGGATGATCCTATGGCTCTACACGTCAACAACTCATTCGAATGACTTGAATACAGCTCAACATTTATCTAAACATTTATGGAGATTAATTTACATGTATGGACATTGGTCAAATGACTCCTATCTGTTTGTTATTATTGCATTTCCTGTGTTTGAACTGTTTGATTGTCTTATCTGTTGTTGCTGAATTGAATGCTCTGAGGCAACTGTTGACGTGACTAAGGCTTGTACAGAAATAAACATACACTGTTTGACTATCACTGATTGTTTTGCTCATGTGAGCTAGAATATCCAACGAGTTTACTTACCCGATTGGCAAGCAGTTCTTACTTGAAATAAGAAACAATTTGTTGAAAATTCATCATCTTCCTGTCGACCCACCACCTGCAGGAGGATCAACAAGGGATTGGTGCTCTGAGACGTATATTATTTATAATATCAATACAATGTATATAGATCCATCAAAAATAGAATATAATCCTCAACTAAAGGGATATTTAAGGATTTCATTTTGTTTTCAATTGTATTGGTGAATATTTGAGCAATTTTCTATTTAAAGAACCTGCACTACTGGATTTTTTTAATGAAGGGTCTGCAAAAATGTTTGTGTTCAAAAGGCATACAGTGTTGGCTGCAATATGCCACAATACATGTTTACTTCACTAATCATCCAAATTGCACAATTTGTGACAAACAAGTAACATTCTCACGTCATATGTGTGACACGGAGAAAGCACTCACAATTCAGGTTTATTAGCAGTAGTTGTTTTCCAACAAGGTTCAATTGGTCTTCTGTGTCTGCGTAGGTTAGCACCAGGTGCTCCGGTTTCCCCTACCACTAAAACATGTACAATAGATGAGGGTTGAATGAGCGTGTGTTTGTGAGTGTGATTGTGGGACTACAGATGCAAATTAGCAACATAGCTACAATCTGCTGTATTTACAGCTCTTGTGGTTCATGAATACACACTGTCCCATCCAAATAAACAAATAAATATAGATAAATCAGCTGAAAAGAAATGCCCCAGGAAGCTCAGAAAAAAATAGCGAAGTGTGTCTTTTAGGGGTGGGAACCTAAGGGTACCTCACGATACGATACACGATACAAAGCTCACGATAACGATAATATCACGAAAACAATTTTATCACGATATGATGATTATCGATATATTGGTCAGAAATATACCATATGCCAATTTATGGCATAAATAAAAGAAAAATGTTAAGTGAAAAAATACACTTTATTTCTTGATAAATGGAATGGAGATGCGTAATGTAGCCATATATGAAGTATTGATACTAATTTAATAAAAAAAAAAAATAATAAATATATATATATATATATATATATATATATATGTAAAATTCAAAATTGATACTTTGCAAATGCATATCGATAATTGAATCGCGGCAGAAAGTATCGCAATGTATTGATATCGCAATATATCGTCACACCCCTTGTGTCTTTATATATTGATGAGGGTATGCACAGTGAATACTATTAACTCAGACTAGACGCTGCAACAATATGCCTTTAACGTGCCATGTTTCGATGTTTAAGGAAAATGACACCACTGATTATATTACAGGTCTGATCTATAGAGGCATGACTTGTTTACTGTCATAATGTACTTTATAAGAATAACATAAATAAAAACTGAATTAGTGCTAGTTAGTAGCCTGTGTAGAACTACAGTGAGAACAAAAACAACATCAGCAGCACTCTCTCCATCTTAGCCTTGTCAATGTTTTCACTTTGGTGTTATTGCAATGGAGTGCTGTATCCGCTTATCTGTTACTCCAGGTTAGAATGGAAAATGATCAGTTCGTGTAGTGAGTGAGCTCTTTAGTAATATATTCAGAGGCTGCACCATTGTTCAAATATTAACTCAACCCCTGTGTCCTTTCATAATGGCCAGACTGAGGTTGACTAGCAGGAATCCATTAATACATCACTTGAATACACACATGCAGACCGTTTAGACACCAGGCTTATGTCACTGTCTACAAAACCCATACTGTTTCTAACTTGGCGTTTTAAATGTTGTTCCAGTAGATTTTCATAATTCAGACAGAAGAGATCTTGGGGAATCTACTGTTTTTAGTTTAACATTAGTTAATTCCTATTGTAATAACTTTACTTTAAACTTTCTATCTTAGAAAAGCTTATGTTAAGAAATTTTATAGATTTTTTTTATTATGCCTTATTTTTCTCTACTATTAAATTGCTTGCCAAAGCAATTTCCTAGTCTGTGACTTCCTTTTACTTACATGGCAATAAAAATTATTCTGATTCTGATGACTCTGATTCTGATGTCGATGGATGAATGTAGTTTTGCAGGAATTCAGCCACACAAAAAAACACACTTTTGAGCATCAAACACTTATAGATTAAATAATTATTATACTATAGGTATAATTGGGTTTCTATAATGATAGAAAACAGCTTTAATAAAACCAGGTTCATTGACTTCCTGTGCACAAATGCAGAACTGAAAAACTGAGCAGTGGTAAAAGTATATTAACTTATCCAAAAGGGATGTTTGTTCTGATTGGTCAGTTCACTCTCCAGCTTGTTCTGCGTTAGTCATTTCACAGATTCATCTGAAGGGAGAAGCTCATTGACAACAACCTCAAAACAACAGCCATTGTTTTTATCATTAATAGGGCAGTGTAAACCCTTTTCAACTGTTTTGATCCTTTTTCAACAGCATTTTTTGAATTGCCACTGCTTCTGACCGGTTACCCCAATAGCGGGGATTCGAGGGATGGGTCAAACACAAGTGGCAAATGTACAAGTAAAATTAGGTGCCTCAATATAATTATTAAGGATTCATGTATCTATATTGACGCAGCAAACTAGATGGCGGAAGTCTGACAGGGAATATCCCTCGGACAAAGTTATGCTCCAATTAGCTTTAGCTCCCATTGGCTTTTATTGACAATTAAACTCCTCTTACTGTCATTTATTAATATAAGATAGATACAGCAGGACGGTAGTAAGAGCACACAGGGATGTTTGTTCTGATTGGTCAGTTCCAACCTCTGTTTGTTTGGAGTTACCACGGCAAAAGGGATGCTCTCAGCCTCTTCCAACCAAAACTTTCTGGATGCTGGAAGAGAGACCTGATTGCCACAGTCACTAATGTAATATTGTGTTCATTAAACCAGTGTACATCCTGAGTCTGTGTGCACTGCTTGGAAGTGACTCCCTAGTTCTGGTAATGGTGATAACACAAGCATCTTATACATGCATTGCAACATGTATACATACATGTTGCAATGCATTTTCATTTGCTGTCAATGCTATGAAAATTGTTATGCAAGAATCAAATCTTTTGGAAAAATATGACAAGAAATCATTGTCAGAACAATATTTGTTCAGAAAAGTACAATTTCACTGTTTCATGATTTACTGTATTTAATGATTTGAATCATGACAGTACATGGATATTATTAGTATATTAGCAACCGCCTTCAACACAAACATGCTGGGATTTGCACAGTAGCTACATTTCATCTAATGTCCTAAGGCAGGTGTCAGGGAGAGGCAAAATTAATTAATCAAGTTAATCGAATAATTTGATCCCCCCCAAGGCCACATACATATCAGTGAGATAGGACCCAAACCATCTCAGAGCAGTGCAAGAGAGAACAATTATTGTTTGAAGGCGATGAAGGAGAAATGCGTGTTCTATGACGTCGAATGCGGCAGAAAGGTGAGGACAACTTGAGGTGGTCCTGAAGTTGGGCAGAAACAACCCTTTCCATGACCTTAGACAGGAAGGGGAGGATAGAGATGGTGGGGTAGTGTGCAAAAATGTCAGGTACAAAAATGTTTTTTTTAAATGAGGACGAATAATGGCTGTTTTTAGCGTGGCTGGGATGTGGCGACTTTGAAGGGACTGGTTTATTCTGGCAGTGATAAGTGGGCTTATTTCAGAGGCATTGGATTTGATCAGAGGGGTGGGAAGTGGGTCCTGGGAATGAGAAGCGGGTCTCATTTTCTGCACAAATTCCCTATACTTCTCTCTCAGTAGCAGTGGTAAACTGAGAGAAGGTTGTGCAGAAGCATAGTGAGGTGCAGTTCTTGTCTATCTCAAGAGTGAAATGTTCCATGAATTTATTACACTGCTGTTCTGATTGGTTATTGCATGCTTTGGTCGTTGGTTAATGAGTTTACTATGGAGAAAAGTTGTTTTGAATTTCCAGGCTTGTTTATAGAGTTGGAATAGTATAGGAGGATCTTTGTTTACACCGGGGTGCGCCCCTCGCTGGGTGGCAAAAAGACAGAGCGGCACATACTGAAGCATGGATGCGACGAGTACTTTGAAAAGACTCAGTAGGCGAAATGCACTGTATAAAAGCACTTTAACGCAAGAAGATCAGAGGAGATATAAAGACAATCTAAAAATAAGAACATGAGACCGGACTGTACAAAGTCAAAGCTCATATGAGACCTGGGATGACCAAAAACATTGGTCAGACTCACCTCCGTCTTGGCACCGATCTGCGAGACATTTATTCGTGTTATTTTTTCACCGCGATAAAGTGGCCC